GGACATCAAATATACAATAATATACTCTTAACATAGTCCCTATTTTTTTCTTTATTAGCTTCATTCTTAATTTTCTAAATATCTTATACATGCCTCATCCCCATCTACCTTTTTTGTTTGACAGCAAATATGTCCTAACTTGATTTCTTCTAACATTTTGATCATAGCATCCTGCTCACTTTGGTAATCACAGTCTATTGGTGGGTGTATGCATATACCCACAAATCCTTCCTGGGTGTGGCATGTGGCTGTATTCTATATATAGCAGCTACCTGGTACCCAGGTTATAGAACATAGTTACCAGTCACAGATCAGCAGAACATTTGAGACGAGCTCAGCTACATTTGCAAGAACTGAAAGACAAGGTAAGAAAAATCTGTATGAATTTTCATCTGCAACAATGTTAAACTTTTTATGAATGTAACACTGTAAATGTATATATTGACATAAAGAGTGCTGCAGATAGTACAGTCACAGAGTGACTGTACTATCTGCAGCACTCTTTGCACATGGAATAATTGCAGGGTTTAGGAGGTTCTTAAAGATTTTATAAATACAACAATGCATTGAGATATTGCCATGTGATTAGCTGACAAGATGTTCATTTTAACAAGCAGTTGAACAGGTGTACTTGAAAATCTACTCAGTGAGTGAATGTTTTGTGTATGAAGGTAAATTTAGGGTTTGATATTGTGGCTTCATATACAAGTGCTTAACATTTCATAGGGTCAATGTGCAACCCCAGCATACAAAACTCTTATTAATGTTGCGTCTGCTACTATCTGGACTACTCCTTTAGGATCAAAGAACAGCTCAGATTAAATTACTTTTGTTTTCTAACACTTATTACAGCACAGGACAGCTAAAGCTGAAGATGGCAAATGGACCAGCCCTGTCCACTGCTAACAATGAGGAAGTATATGTAGGGAGTGAATTCAGAGATTCCTGCACAATGTTGGATGTTCTCCATGCAAATCAGTTTGAAGGAGAAATTTTTGATCCAGCACTCACAGGGAAGACAGAAGAGAATTTCTACAGAGGGGCCCCACCTCAGTGGTTAAACTTCTACATCAGTGAACAAGCAGAGTTACATGGGACTGCTTTTATCAAAAGAGATGGACATGAGAAACTCAGGGAACAAATTAAGAAAAAGAGATCATTTCCAGGGATATCAACTGTAAAACTGACACACCAACCAGGATGTGGGGGAACTACAATGGCCATGCAGGTGATGTGGGACTTGAGAAAAACCTTCAGGTGTGCTGTTTTAACTGGCTCCACCTCAGACATGGCAAAAGTTGCAATGGAGGTTGTCCAACTTTTCACAGCAGGCAGTCGAAACAACCAGAACACTGTGCTGTTGTTAGTGGTTGATGAGAAAATCCTGGAAGATCTCCAGAGCAGCATTATGATGACAGTTGCTGAGCAGAAGATAGTTACTTGTATGCCTGCAGTCATTTTCCTCAGCTGTGTGAGAAACAATGCACCTCAACAGAGTGACCACGTTGTCCTAAAGAACACACTCTCAGACAATGAGAAGGAAACATTTGATAAGAAAAAGGAAGAGCTTCAAAAGAGGTACAAAGATAAATGTGAACAGTTTCATGGCTTTAACATAATGCAAAGTAATTTCTCTCAGGACTACGTCAGGGAGGCATGTGCTGCTTTAGAAAACAGCAAAAAAACAAATAAACCACTGAAGACACAGCTTGCTGCCTTCCTATCCCTGCTGAATGACTACGTACCAGGGTCATATCTCCTGGAGTCTCAGTGCCTGGACTTCCTCAGACATGAAGACTATGATGATCTTTCACTGGAGGATCAAATGCAGCCTTTCAGTCATCTCATCATCACATTCCAAGAAGATGGAAGAGCTGAGAAAAAGGTCTGCATGGCTCACACTATGATAGCACAATATTGTACTGAACTGTTGGCAAAGGCAGGTGTGACCAGAAGTGACACAACAAGAAACTTCGTGAACACTTTTTGCAGAGATCCGATTCCTCTGTGGTTGCTTGGTTTTGTCAAAGACATGTTAACCAAAAGAGAAATGAAAAAAGAAGTGGACCAAGTCAACAGCACAGACATCAAACAGAAAAGGTTTTCTAGACTGATTCTAGACATTGAAATGATGGAGGGGAAAGAGCAGTGTGCAACAGTTTTAAAAGTGGCCTCAAATACATTTGGTCAAAATCCATTTTTTCCACAAGCTCTTGCTCGTTTTTATTATATAGAATTAAACGACTACAATCGGGCAGAAATGTGGGCACAAAGGGCAATAGAAAGAGATCCTCAAAATTCTTTTGTTGCTGACACACTTGGCCAAGTCCATAAGAACCACCTAATGAACAATGAGGTTTCTGAACCAAGAGACATTTTGAGACTGGCCAAAAAAGCCATTAAAGCTTTTGAAGATGAAGAAAAACTTGCTGAAGATGAAGATGGACCAGACATGAAAAAACATGGCAATATAAAAGTTTCACCTTTTTATAACTTCAGAGGGCAGTTTGGTTACCTGCAGGTCTGCAATACTCTGTATTACAAACTTGTCAGTCAAAATGAAACCTGGGAAGAAGTTCTCACCAAAAATGTATCGATGGGTTCTGTCCTCGAATTACTTGGAGACAACAAACTTCAAAGATTCAATGATCTCATAGTAAGCCTGCGAGATGACATTGAGAAAAAATGCATGTTTTTGGAAAAATTTCAGACTTACTCAAAGCCTAAAACAGAGAAAGATGATCCTGAATATATATCTAAACACACTTCAGAGTGCTACCAGAAGTATGTTGGCAACACAACTGCAAAACAACTCATCCAGATGTTTCAGGAGGGAAACCTAGATGACCAGTCTGTGGAAGTGCTGTCATTTCTTGTCAAACAATACACTCAATCAGAGCTCAAAGACATATCTACAAGGTGTAGAGAAATGTGTCCAAGTGCAGATTCAGAGACAGCTCTGGTCAACAACATCCTCACACTATTTGAAAGAAAAATGCCCCTGAGTGACACAGACCCACCTGAGCTGCACATGTTCTCCCTCCTCTGGTACTGGGCTGGAAATCAAGGCCAATGTGATTATGACCTCAGTGAGTTAACTCAGCAAATGTACAAGTCTTATGAAAATACATATAAGAAGTACTTTCGAAACAGGTACCTCCTTCCTGTGTTTTTCATTGGAAAAGGTGAAGGTGTGAAGAGAATTGTTCACAGAAGTGTTATTGAGAAACATCTGAAAGCGATTGAAGCAGATTGGAGCAAGAACTGGAAGAAAGAAGAAATCTTCAGAAATCCTGATGTTCAAGAGCTCCTTCTCAGACTTGATGGAGAAGTAAGAAACTACAAAGTGTATACAAGAGTTGGTGGCAAAGAGATTGAGATGGATGCCAATGTGAGAAACAAAATTTGGAAACCACGCTCAGTTACCTTTTACCTTGGATTTACCATCAGAGGTCCTGTGGCCTTTGACATTCATCGCAAAACTGCAGACACAGGTAAGAAAGCATAACAGTGAAACTGCAGTAAACTGTAGCTGCTTGTTATTAGTTTATAGTTCTATAGTGGCCATGGTTGTATTATGGTCATTAAGAGATAATCTTTCATGTTGAAAAATTCTTTTCGAAACACATTTTGTAAAACTACCAGCAAGTCCAGGAAATTGCTCTCCTAATGAATGTTGGTACATAGGTTAAAAATAAAAGCCTTGTCCTCTACATATTACTTTTATGCTGATCTTAACGAAAACAGAATATGATTGGAGGGAAACAAATACCAAACAGATGACTTTTTTATATATAAGCAGAAAAATTAAACATTGGACATCAAGTCGCAGCAAGTGCTATATATTAACATACAATGTAAATATGTTTACTAAGACATTATATCTAGCCTGTATACACCATTGCATACTATTGTTGAATAACCTTTTTTTTTTTTACCCTGAACATCCATTGTTGTGTTTTTATTTCATCTTATGTTTACTGATTTTCACAGATCGTGGATCACTGTGGGACCAATAATGTGAAAGAGACCAAAGACAATAGGGACATTAAAGTGTGTTAATCCTGCCCAACATCCCCATGGGAAGGAGAATCCAAGACTTCTTTTTTTTAGTATTTATGTGTTTACATGTTTCAAAAACAAAAGGAAATATTTGCTCTAACTTTGAAAAGCAGTGCACAAGAAGTATGTGTTATCATAACTTTACTTTTAGAGAAATATTCTGCATTTAATAAGAAAATATTTACTCTACATAAACACTACATTGAATAAACTAGAAGATGTACTATCTCTGCTAAAACCTCGGATTAAATAACAGACTTTCTGACTCTTAGAGAAAATTTAGTTCCCAAAACTTGTTTGCATAGTATCTACTTAATATTTTGGTTATGGGTTCTTTAACATCTATGAAAGATTTGATTTGATTGATTTTGAAAATGGTTTTGTTTTAGATTTATTCTGTATTTAATATAAAAGGGGTTTCAACTTTTCATTGTGTTGCAGTGATTCATTTTCACTTTTTTTTATTCAGCACTTAATTATGGCTGTAGTTTTAACTTTCTTACATTTAGATGAACACTGATATTTTTTATTTTTTATTTTTATGCAGTACTGAATCTGTACGTTTGCATTCTGAATCAATATTAAAGTTACAATACATGGCAATCATTGTTTCATAACATTTTGCATAAATTTTACTGTGTTTACCGGCTGTTAGTTAGGGTGAAACAATTACTTGTTTTAAGTGTGCAATCATAGTTTTGCATTAGTTTTAAAGTATTCATAGCCTTGGCAAACGTTATATTTGATGGTAGTGAAGATGAAGATGAAGATGAGGTGGTTGGACAAATAACAGAAAAGCACTGAGATTTTAAACACAGAACAGAAGGCAGGCAAGAAAAAAATTATAGTGTAGGGTATACACTGTAATTTATAGTACAAAGCAGTATTCACTTATGTACACGATCGAATATTTATATCCACATAATTATGGATTATTTTATTTACAATATTAAAAAACATTCTGTATTTTGCAGAAAATGACATAAGGAAACATAATATATTAGATTTATATTTCAAATATGACAAAATGCTTGCCAGTCTTGGTAGCCGGGGATCAGTCCGCCAGGGTCTCCGCTCCTGGCC